AGACAACCTATAGAATGGGTAAAATATTTGTAAACCATATTATCTGATAAGGGGTTCATATCCAAAATATATAAGGACTCATCCAACTCAGTAGTAAAACAAGTAATTTGATTAAAAAATTGGCAAAGAACTTGAATAGACATTTTTCCACCCAAGAAGATATACAAATGGCCAAAGGTACATGAAAAGGTGCTCAACAGCACTAATCATTAGGGAAATAAAATCAAAACCACAATGGGGTATCATCTCACTTCTGTTAGAGTTGTTATTATCAAGAAGACAAGAGATACCAAGTATTCATAAGGAAAACCTTTTTACCATTGATGTGAATGTAAATTGGTGCAGCCACGATGGGAAATAGTATGTAGGTTCCTCAAAAAATTAAAACCAGAACTACCATATATGATCTAGCAATGCCTTAAGAAACCACTGACTCAAAAATATATCTGCATCCCCATGTTCACTGCAACATTATTTACAATAGCTGAGCTGTGAAAACAACCTAAGTGCACATCACATTGAAAGGATAAAAAAATGAGGTGTATATACAATAGAATATTATTCACCCACAAAAAGAAGGAAATTGCTTCCACCACGTGAGGCACAGTGAAAAGGTTGTGACCTGGAAAAGAACCCTCACCCAGCCAAGCCTGATACTGGACTTAACAGCCTCCAGAATGGAAAATAAAGCAATATGAGGAAGTTACATGAAATACATTTTTTCCTGGGGACAAGAAAAGACAACTGAGGCTCAGAAAATTTACACAACGTGCCCATCCATGAAAATACAGTGACACCGGACAGTAAATCAGTCTTTAAACCCAGGTTTTTCAGAAATGAAAGCTGATTTAGTAATATTCTTCTCTTTCCTAGGTGGGGTTCAAAAATGTCTTATGACTTGGTACTCTTAGGAGGGTGGGGCAAGTTACTTAATGCAGTGTAGACAAATCTCTTGGGTAAGGTCAAATGAAGGCTTGGATCACACCTCAGCTTCTGAGAGATCCAAAATGGAGATTATCTCAAGAAGGTTTAAACCATCTTCTGGGGTCATGATGCATTGCTGTCAAGCCTCATAATGCCTCAGCAATCCCAGGAATGGGTAGCAGAGGCCTAGAAACATACTGGTTTAAAATTGCATTGTAAAACTGAAGTTGAGAGCACACCTAGCACCTAGATTTTGGTTTCTAAATACCATGTCCTACTAAAAAGAACCAGGCTCCATGGAGAGATGTTGATTCCAAGTCAGAGGCAAGGAAAGCACAGGTTGGCCTAGAGCATCTTGTGCCGTAAAGTAGGAAACTACCCCAAGATTAATTGGGATTATATGGGAAGGATGCAGGAGGCAACTTGAAGGTGCTCCCTTCACAGAAAATCTGTTGTGATCATCTCATCTCCTGACCCTAAATTATGATACTAGATTATAGCAGGTGAAATGAAGAAAAAAAACATAAATCCATAGTGACACTTTAAAAGACAAGGAGAGGGAAAAAAGGGGGGAAGGAAAGGGGAAATCTGTTCTTTATAAAACAGTATCAACAAATAGTGTAGAAATAATGACAGAATTAGAAAAGTCTCCATTTTGTAACTCTCCATGTAATGGCAGATTAAGCTAGAAATCACTAATGGATGTTGAAGCCATTGGGTAAAATGGCTGTTGGGGAATGGGATATTCACCTTTTTTCAAAGTATCACCCACAGATCATTTATAAAAGCATGCTGTTATAGTTGAGAGAAACATGCTGTTAACAGTGGAGACTACAATGGTAGTCTCACCTTAACCAAGAGCTCCTCCTTGGCATTGCCAGTCATGAAGTGGCCTGACCTGTGTCTCCTGGTGCTCTTGTCAGAAATGTCACCTGCATCTAATCCTGAGGAAACAGTCATTCATCCAGAACATGGGACATTCTGCAGGACAAGTAGCCTAGGCTTATTAAAGGACCCAGTACCGTGAACATCAGAATGAGACAGTGGAGCAGTCTACACTGGAGAAAGGTAGAGAGACCTGACAGCCAAATGCAGAGCTTAGACCTCGACTGGATTCTGGATCCCAAAATAATCTGCTATGAAGGACATTTGGGGGACAGTTTAGGAAATTTGAGTATGGACTCAACGTTGGTAATTTATTGTGCTGTTGATTTCCCTAGGTGTGATCATGGTGTTGTGGTTATGTAGAAGAATGTTCTTGTCCTTGGGAGATGCAAGCTGAAGTTTTAAAGGGAGAAATGCCATGATATGGGAAGCCTAGTTTGGGATGGTTGGATAAAGAGAAGTGTACATAAAAATACATATGTATACATATAAGGTATATGTATATGTGAAGTGAGGTGAGTATGGCGAAAACTTGTCAGTTGGTGAATCTAGGTGAAGGGACATATGGGTATTTGTTGTATTATTCTTCCAACTTTCCTGTGGGTTTGAAAATGTTCCTATTAAAAAGAATGAATTGCAGTTAAAAAAAAAAAAGGAAATCCTGTCACTAACGACATGGATGGCATTATGCTAAGTAAACTAAGTTAGACAGAAATACAAATATTGCATGATCCCACTTAAATGTGAGACCTAAAAAAGGTGAACTCCAAAACAGAATAGATCGTGGCTGATAGGGCCTGAGTTGGGGCAGAGGGAGGTAAGTGGGGAGATAGATCAAAACTGAGGCTCAGAAAATTTACACAACGTGCCCATCCATGAAAATACAGTGACACCGGACAGTAAATCAGTCTTTAAACCCAGGTTTTTCAGAAATGAAAGCTGATTTAGTAATATTCTTCTCTTTCCTAGGTGGGGTTCAAAAATGTCTTATGACTTGGTACTCTTAGGAGGGTGGGGCAAGTTACTTAATGCAGTGTAGACAAATCTCTTGGGTAAGGTCAAATGAAGGCTTGGATCACACCTCAGCTTCTGAGAGATCCAAAATGGAGATTATCTCAAGAAGGTTTAAACCATCTTCTGGGGTCATGATGCATTGCTGTCAAGCCTCATAATGCCTCAGCAATCCCAGGAATGGGTAGCAGAGGCCTAGAAACATACTGGTTTAAAATTGCATTGTAAAACTGAAGTTGAGAGCACACCTAGCACCTAGATTTTGGTTTCTAAATACCATGTCCTACTAAAAAGAACCAGGCTCCATGGAGAGATGTTGATTCCAAGTCAGAGGCAAGGAAAGCACAGGTTGGCCTAGAGCATCTTGTGCCGTAAAGTAGGAAACTACCCCAAGATTAATTGGGATTATATGGGAAGGATGCAGGAGGCAACTTGAAGGTGCTCCCTTCACAGAAAATCTGTTGTGATCATCTCATCTCCTGACCCCAAATTATGATACTAGATTATAGCAGGTGAAATGAAGAAAAAAAACATAAATCCATAGTGACACTTTAAAAGACAAGGAGAGGGAAAAAAGGGGGGAAGGAAAGGGGAAATCTGTTCTTTATAAAACAGTATCAACAAATAGTGTAGAAATAATGACAGAATTAGAAAAGTCTCCATTTTGTAACTCTCCATGTAATGGCAGATTAAGCTAGAAATCACTAATGGATGTTGAAGCCATTGGGTAAAATGGCTGTTGGGGAATGGGATATTCACCTTTTTTCAAAGTATCACCCACAGATCATTTATAAAAGCATGCTGTTATAGTTGAGAGAAACATGCTGTTAACAGTGGAGACTACAATGGTAGTCTCACCTTAACCAAGAGCTCCTCCTTGGCATTGCCAGTCATGAAGTGGCCTGACCTGTGTCTCCTGGTGCTCTTGTCAGAAATGTCACCTGCATCTAATCCTGAGGAAACAGTCATTCATCCAGAACATGGGACATTCTGCAGGACAAGTAGCCTAGGCTTATTAAAGGACCCAGTACCGTGAACATCAGAATGAGACAGTGGAGCAGTCTACACTGGAGAAAGGTAGAGAGACCTGACAGCCAAATGCAGAGCTTAGACCTCGACTGGATTCTGGATCCCAAAATAATCTGCTATGAAGGACATTTGGGGGACAGTTTAGGAAATTTGAGTATGGACTCAACGTTGGTAATTTATTGTGCTGTTGATTTCCCTAGGTGTGATCATGGTGTTGTGGTTATGTAGAAGAATGTTCTTGTCCTTGGGAGATGCAAGCTGAAGTTTTAAAGGGAGAAATGCCATGATATGGGAAGCCTAGTTTGGGATGGTTGGATAAAGAGAAGTGTACATAAAAATACATATGTATACATATAAGGTATATGTATATGTGAAGTGAGGTGAGTATGGCGAAAACTTGTCAGTTGGTGAATCTAGGTGAAGGGACATATGGGTATTTGTTGTATTATTCTTCCAACTTTCCTGTGGGTTTGAAAATGTTCCTATTAAAAAGAATGAATTGCAGTTAAAAAAAAAAGGAAATCCTGTCACTAACGACATGGATGGCATTATGCTAAGTAAACTAAGTTAGACAGAAATACAAATATTGCATGATCCCACTTAAATGTGAGACCTAAAAAAGGTGAACTCCAAAACAGAATAGATCGTGGCTGATAGGGCCTGAGTTGGGGCAGAGGGAGGTAAGTGGGGAGATAGATCAAAGGGTACAAACTTCCAATTATAGGATGAATAAGGTCTATGTATCTAATGTAACCACAGTTAACAATACTGTATTGTATACTTGACTAAGAAGTAAATCTTAAACATTCTTCCCCAAAATATACATGGTAACTATGTGAGGTCATGGCTATTATAACTAATTTTATTGCAATAATCATTTTGCAATATCAAATATTTTACAAATATTAAATCATCACATTGTACACCCAAACTTTCATAACTGACATAACAAACAGTGTTATGTCAGTTACAACTCAATAAAGCCGGGAAAAAAAGAAAGCTAACTCACAAGTGTTTGTAAAAAAGACTTATAAAGTTACCTAACATGTGTTTTTAATTGGATATTAATACAATTTCTTTTAAAAGGCTTTAACAAACTGTTCTGACATTTAAAGTGTAATCATTGTACATTAATGAATGTACCATCTTACCTGGTTCACTTCCCAAGTTGAGTTTCTCATCTGACAAAACTAACCTAAAGTAAAAACCAAAAAATGAAAAGATTTTAGTGGAAATACCTTTAGGACTCATCTTATATAAACAGTTCCATATGGTTAAAAAAAATTTTTTGACTGAGGAAACATACAAAATAGCTGTTTTTGAGATCTCCACAGACTGTGGAAATAGTCATTCACCCCTTATTATTTCAATAAACATTCACTGAGTATTGACTGAAGTACCAGGCACCATCGTCAGCACTGTCAGAACTGGTGCTAAGTACTGTGTCATGGAATATCTGTCCACCAAGCCACTGAGCATGAAGTTTAGTTTTCAAACACTGAAGGGTTTTGTGCAAGATACTCAGAAACTAAATAGAGGGAATGAAGAACTGCAGAAAAAACAGAGTATTCTTACTTTGAACAGCCAGGTGATGTTTGCAAAAGACACATTTTCCCAGTCTTCATTAGTACTCTACTAGTACTCTACTACTTCATTAGTAATCTACTAGACTACTAATTTTGGATATTTATATCATCTATCTGGTATAATAATAATAAGACAAAGAAATTGGATGCAATTTTTTAGTCATTATTCCAGGGGTATAAACTCACAATTCTAGTATTGGAGGTTGTCTTTAATAAATCTTTGAAGACACTTAAAAATTTAGGTACCCCTACAACATTTTGCTATGCTGATGGACAGTGACTGTAATGGGGTTTGTTGGGGGGACTTGGTATAGGGGAGAGCCTAGTAAACATAATATTCTTCATGTAATTGTAGATTAATGATAAAAAAAAAAGAGAGAAAGAAAAGGGAATTACTCCCTGATAGGATACAACTAAATGCAAATCAATGATTAATGCATGCTTTACATATCCTTAATTTTGATCTTTCAAAGGGTGTCAGATGATCAGCTATGGAAGAACATTTTTCTGATAATATTCCTTTCTCTTAAAAAAAAAAAAAGTAGTTCCTGTGTGGTGATCTCCAATAGGTTCTTCACAATGGTATCAAGGTCATATCAAA